ATAAGAAAATTGACTCAGACCCATAAGCTCATGTGTTGCACCCTCCGGGATGGACCAAACCCCCGCTCCCCCCCCCCCCCAAACTGTTCTGTATGTGGCAGGATAGAGCAGGGTTTCTGGGAAATCTGGAAAAACTTGGAAACCATACAAACTAGGCACCAAGGATAGGCAGATCTGGTGACAGTGGTACTATCATGGACACGTGATGACGGGCAGCACACCGTCGTGATGTGGAAACCACACACCTTTTCCACAAGATCTTTTACTGAGTGTACAACCTATTTTGAGCCTGGCACCAGGCTTTTATACAAACGCCCCCTACGCCCCAATTCTTTTGCCCTCCCTCTTTCTGGCCTTTTAAGCCAGCCCCCGTGGGGGGAAACAGCTGAAGAAGCCAGCTAGTGTACGCACACACTCAGACACGCACGCACACACACAGATTTTGGCCAGGATCGGTTACTCAGACGGGTTCCTGGAATCTCCCCTCTCTCCCTCACGCAGCACGAACGGACACAGTCGCAGACACTCCCTCCAATCCTCAGAAGCTGGACGCTCGCTGGCCAGGACGCGGCTGGGATAACTGGGATATCTGTGGAGATATTGTGCTTCCTTCTCGCCGTTGCAGAGTAACAACATGGCTCTGAGGCCAAACCCAGACAGAGAGCCCAACATCGAGCTTTTCATTAAGGTCAGTCCTTCATTCTTCACATTTGTTCACAAGCCTCAGTGTTTGCTTATGTTCCTTAATGTCTAAAATAAGTGTCAGAGTCTGTAAACTTTACGGTGAATCATTGTGTCTTTACAGTATTCCTGGAATGTTCTAGTCTGAACATCTCAAAGCTATAGTGGTAAAAATATCATTACTTGAGTAAGTAATATATTTCAAACTAGGTTATTTTTCTCCCTGGTGGAAACTAAAGTCATATGAAGATGAGTCTTCAGAAAGACAGTTTCTCAGCCGAAATGCTTCTGTGTCTTCTGCTACATATGGCTTTATATGCCACTGAGTAGTGCTGACATTTTTAGAGGTAGGATCTGGAATATGGGCAGGATAGGAGTATGGGGAGGATAGCTTAACACACAGCATCATTCAGAGGAGGTTAATGGGGCTACGTCAGCGATTGAGTTAGCATTCCCGGTGAGCCGTTTTTATCATTCTCTCCAGAAAGTACATACAGGAGGCCCCCGCCTTATCAACATACAGACAGCGTGGGGTGGAGCTATGTGGTGCTTGTCCCTGATGCCCAAAAACCCTGCGTTTAGCTCGCAGAAACTCTAAGCCAGGACACTCTATTTGCCGGCACATTTTCCGGGACACTCCCTGTGGACGGCCGGGCACATGGACAAGACCCCGCCCCCCCCATTCATTACCACATCCTTCTCACACCCTTTATTTTGCTAGACACATGAACACCGCCCCACCTACCCATCTGCTGCCACACCCACCTCTGCACCTCCTTAGCTCATCATGTGACTGACACGAGGCTTGGACATCTTCCACGCTCCCGAAAGTCTGCTTAGTTTCACTACCGCTACGTTTGTGACAGTAATGCTTTAATGCTCAGATGTGTTCAGCTGTATTAGATGAGGGAAGTTGACGTAGTTCTGCTCTCCGCGGGAGAAGCTGTCGCTCTAAATCTGCCTTTCTGATGGTGCTTTTCCAACATTCCATGTCAAACTTTCCAGAAAATTCCTCATGGTGTGGGTTTAGGACTGTTTGCAAAGCTGTAAACTTGCTGGTCCATGGTTGCTGGCTATATCCTTCATTCCAGCTTTGTATTTTATAGTAGAGGGGCAGCCACACAAGTTATAAACTTCTTAATTGTGACTAAATAATCAGGACGCTTGCTACAGCTTCTGAGGGGGAGTTCTCTAAGGGCAGTCTGTGGGCTACAAAACGTGATCTTCCATGCTTCTCTCTACAGGCCGGCCTGGATGGGGAGAACGTGGGGAACTGCCCTTTCTGCCAGAGGCTCTTCATGGTACTCTGGCTGAAGGGCGTCAAATTCACAGTCACCACCGTCGACATGAAGAAGTAGGTCTGACCTTCTGACCTTCAGCCTCTTCCGTTGCTTGTTGTTCTTTTCATCCTCTGTTTTGTCACATACAGTTACTATGATATGCATGAAATACTATTTTCATGGATCAAAAGACTGTTTAGCTGCACCCTATTAGACTTTAGATTCCTGATAGATTAAACACAGTGGTTCCCAACCTTTTTTGGCATGTGACCCCATTTTAACATCACAAATTTCTGGTGACCCCATAGACATTTTTTTCTAGAACTAGTATTTGATCATGTTTGTTATACCGTGTTGCAAATACAGAGTAGCCAGATTAGTGCACAAAGTCACATTTTATTTTCCCTAATCACATGTACAGTTAGGCGAGCTTGTCTTTACAAGGCTAAAGGTAATCGCGATCATTTTATTTGATTTATTTATTGATATTTATGAACGTGAAAGAATACAGTTGTTTAAGATTGTATGTGGTGTTTTAATCATAATTTTTAAAAGAATAATAATAATAAAATATTTTTTATCAGTAATTTTTTTATCAATTGCTAGACATTTCAGGGAACCCTATTTGAAAAACACTGATTTAACCTGATGCAGACGCACCCATAACTCCTCTCTCAAGACGTCACTCTCCTCTCACATGAATTATTTACTGACACAGTCACTGCAAAGAATGCTTTGCCACTATTAGCATTGTAGCAGATGTCCGTGTGGCATGCGTTCGTGTTGCAGCGTTTTAATGGCGTAAAAGAGATGTTTAAAACCCTATGATTTCCGTGATGCGGAAAATGTGGACAGAATGGCGGAATCCAAACATAAAAAAAAAAAAATTGATGGTAGAATGTAGAAATCCCATGAAATTAACAGGTTTCTCATAAAATTAAAGGCCACTGCAAATTATTTAGAATGCCAGCTGTTCCTTATGGTTTCATTAATTTATTGCTAGGTGATAAAAAAAAATTAAATGCCCTAATGTTATTCAGACCAATGTTTTTTTTTATATTCATTTGATAAGAGCTACAGCTAATTAGCTAGCTACCATTGGCCAGGTAAACTAGCTAGCTGCTTCATGAAGAATATTTTCTTTTCATGTTGAGTTTGTTGTGTTCAAACTAAATAAATATTGGTCTGTCAAAGTTCTGTATGCTATCGATTTTGTTAAGAAAATACTAAACGCGCTCTTAAGCCATGTACTAAGACAGATGTTACAACACGTCATGTGTGCCTTCATCTCCTAAGGTTATCTTACAATGTTTTGTTGTCTTTCAGAATTTTTACAGTAGTTAAAGTCATCTTATTGATATATCTTTTCTCTTCTGTTCTGTGCACATTTGGAATGGAAAATAATCAGGTTACATTTAGTGACGTTCCGGAATACATTTCTGAAGTAACTCTCCCAACCCTGCCGGTAATCCCGCTCCCATCCTGCCTCACAGACTTACTGCATCTTCTCTGGCTCATTCGTGATTAATACTAATAAAAGATCCTGAGTCCGGCTTGACTGAGTGGTACTTGGCTGCAAGGTTACAGCGGCTGGTGAGAACGTGTGGAGAACGACAAACGATCATTCTGCTGTGCGTTACGTCAGCATGGTGCCGTGCATTTAGGGAGATACATTGAGCTCCACAGCCAAACACAACAGCCAGCTCAAAGCAGCGCACAGTGCTGATGGTGATTAGGGTTGGGTTAAAGTGCAAAACAGTATATAACCCGTCATGTCTCTTATTGGTCTTTTAGGGCATTTTCTATTTAAAGCATTAAGAACCCAGCATGCTTATCAGCTGTTACTTTCAGCATATAGCACACTGAGGCTTTACGGCCAGCGGTTGGGAGGGAAGCGGGGGAGGGGCTTGTAGGTTGCTTTGGAAACTAAAGGCCTCCACTTGACCCTAAGCCTCCCTCCCCCCACCCCACCTGCTTCCTCCTTTCTGCCCTCTGTGACTGTAGGAAGCCTGCAGAGCTGAAAGATCTCGCTCCAGGGACAAACCCACCATTTCTGCTGTACAATGGCGAGCTCAAGACGGACTTCCTGAAGATTGAGGAGTTCCTGGAGCAGACGCTGGCGCCCCCCAGGTAGGGTGCTGCACCACAGCCCCTCCAGGTTTATCGATTACAGATGCAGAGGGAGGTGGGCAGGCCGTCCATCTTGCTGTCAGCCCCGAATCACCTCTGCCTTCCCTTCGCTCCCCACAGGTACCCCCACCTCAGCCCCACAAACAAAGAGTCTTTTGATGTCGGCGCTGACATTTTTGCCAAATTTTCGGCTTTCATCAAGAACAGTCCGACCAGCAAAGGTAAGAGGGTGTGAAGAGTGATGGGTGCTGTGTTTGCAGCACGTAGGGTCCTACATCGAGATTCCTCTCCCTTCCAACTCTATCTTCAAAATAATGCGTAAGATTACAACACTAAGCAAAAAAGAAAAGGATTTCCTTCTGAAATAATGATGATTTCTGTGTAAAAGCCAGTGGTGGAAGAATATTTGTGATATGAAAGACTTCAAATACTCCAGTGCTGTAATTGTGGACACATTAGAAATTCACCTCAGAATGAGTATTATTGTGGACAGATTAAAATACTGCCTCTAAATGAATGCTTTTTTCCTTGTCCGTACTCGTATCCTGGGCCCTTACTCGTACAATGGACCCATGCAGTTCATGAGAAGGCGCTGCTGCGGGAATTCAAGCGCCTCGATGAGTATCTGAACGCACCCCTACCTGAAGAGATCGACCACAATTCTGCAGAGGATGTCCTTGTCTCCAAAAGGAAGTTCCTCGACGGCAACAGGCTGACTTTGGCCGACTGCAACTTGCTGCCCAAACTCCATGTCATCAAGGTTGGTCACACTGAAGTTTCCACCGCATTCGCGTGATTCGATCCCAGCATCATACTCCACAGCTGTTTCAATTGCTGAATTCCTGTATTAATTGTTGTTATTGGTGGCCCTTCGTAGGGAGAGTGGTAAAGCTATCCTTTCAATCTGTTTATATGGAAAAATTATTTTTGTCGTACAGATTGCTGCCAAGAAGTACTGTGACTTTGACATCCCCGCCGAATTCTCAAGTGTGTGGCGTTACCTGCGGAATGCCTACGAGCGAGAGGAGTTCAGTCAGACATGTCCTGCCGACGCTGAGATCGAGAGGGCCTACCTGAGCGTGGCCAGCAAGAAGTGAACAGACCACAAGTAGACCGAAGCCTGCAGGCGAATCGCACTATGTATAACAGTATGAAACACACCAAGCAGGAAATGACCACCGCCTCTTTTTGCTGGATTTTCACCTCCTCCATGTCTCTGGAGAGAACCTCATTTCCATTCCTTCATCAACAGTCGTCTTCAAGCCCTGCATATAAACGAAGATGAGGGTGCCTGGGAATTTTGCCCGATTCCAACATTAGTAAACAAGCGACGGGAGGAAGCATCTGTGTAGACCTCAGAAAATATATTACCCCTCTGAGATGCAACTTAGCTTTCCGCTAAGAACCCACCAGTCCTTCAATAACTAACTTTACAGGAGATGAACTTCTTAGCATTTTCACTTAAATGCAAAACGTTGTCATAGATAAACAACTTTAAATCCAGTTACACGCATTGTATGTTTGAATAGCTTCTCCTGCCTGTTATGTTTATATGGCACAGAGAGTTCTGATGTGCACTTAACTGTATTTGTAATATGCAACTTTATTTGAATTTGTGTCCATAGTGTAAATATACATAAATATATTTTCCTATATACTTTATACTAAACACGCACTGTGGTGATAGAGCTGAATGAAAATGAAGGAAAACAGCACAGTGGTTTTTAGCATACCCTTCTTAGCAGAGGTTTATTGATTTGGTAGCTGGCAAAAACATTTGTTGGTGGAACAGGAACAAGCATCAAATGGACCGAATGGAAATAAAATCCAATAAAGTTTTTCACTCACTATGTATCGTTCCATTTATCTAACTTGAGCCTTTTATGACAACAACCTGATATTTCCTAATCTCCAGCGTGTAGCAATTTGAAACACTTGAGAAACTAATTAGCATGTTGATGTGCTTGAGAGGAAGAGAGGAACATGTCCCTGAGGCTGCACTGCCACCTTGTGGACAAATGTCTCATTGATTATTGGCTTCTCATTGGCTCCTCTATATGCTATTACAGTCTTATTCCCTTGAATCATAATGTTCAAGAGGTTATGTGACTTTACTGTATTGGTGTTTTGGCACTTGTTTGTGGTGTTTTGATTTTTAACCATAAGGCTTTTGCTCTGGACAACATAAAAACACAAAGCTATGCCCCTCAAAACCAAATGACATAGACCCTTTTATTTCAAAGGTACAATGAAACACAATGTTCTTCCAATCAAACGCACACTTCGTTTTTAACCACAGGGTGGGGTGACACTCCTCTAAAATTCAAAAATATATTTCTTTCTTAATATACAAAACAACAGACATGTTGTTTCCGGGCTCTGCAGGAAACTCATGTGAACCGTGGATTGGGGGCACAAACACAAGGTCTCCATGTCCAGGCCAGGATGCGGCTCATTTCTCACAAGAACAGAACAGTCTCAGCTAGTTTGTCACGCAGTACTTCCAGAAGCAAGCTGTTTGGAAAAATGAGAGAAGAGCAGGGTTTGTGTTATTCCTGGTGTTCATTCCTGCTGAAGTTCAGCAGTTCCACACTGCCGTAGGAGTGGGGGACCTACTGAAGGCTGGCATCTAAATAGAACCGCAAAGGTGGAAAATTTCTGCTAAAATTCCAGAAAGTGTCTGTAAACATTTTTACAGGAATTTTGGGAATTTATAATGCAACTCCAACTAGTCATCATTTTGGAGACTGCAGTTTTGTAGCTATTTTTGATTCCTGCTTCTTCCAGTGCATGTTGCACCAGATGAGGAGAAAGGCTCAGCTATGGCACGTTAATTTTTGTTATTGATTTAAGTATAAAAGATTTATGAGATATTTAGATTTATGTCAGCAGATTCTCCAGATTGAACTGACTTTCATCATCAAGCCTCATGCCATGTGGCTCAATAATGTTAGCAAGGGAAATGTATTTGTGTTCAATAAAATGTTCAGATAAATCTAAATACCCTCAAAGTTTTTGTATGTTTGACAACAGTAGATACTCACGAAAATATAAATTCCCAAATAATTCCCATGGAAAGTTTCCTCCCCTGTAAATTCCTGGAACATACATCCCTAGTCACAATTCATAGCTTCATCACTTTGCAGCCAAATATGTTGCAATCTGAGCCTTAATAATGCAATTTCAGCTGAGGACCATAGCTGCCAAAGCATAGTGGTCTACAGAACCTAACCTCTCTTGGTGGTCTTTGGCGGGCTCTGGCGGAAGAAGCCTTGGTTTCGCAGACTGTCCACAGGGGCCAGCTTCAGCATGGCAGTCTTTAAATCCTCCACCTGGTCCGAGAGCACAGTGTATTGAGGAGACAAGTAGACCAATGGGTGTTATAACACCTATGGCTAAAAATCCACATGGCAACAACCAGCACCAGAGGAGTAGTCCAGTAAAATTAAGACCCTGACCCTCTGGGAGCAAATCGATCCCTTGCCGATGCACCAAGGGACACAATCAAACTCAGTGATCTTCACTTTAGTTATAAGGCTATTAAGAGATGGACTGACAGATTGAAAGTCATATTCTATGTAAGTTTGATGAAAATTACATCAAAGTATCCACACCGAAAGTACAGCTAATGTAGCACTCTTGATAATGCAGCATTTTGACCAAACTTAGAGAGGAATGACTGTATCATACATAACTGGGCTTTAATGTGTCCAGTACGTCAATCTATCATCTTGCATCACTTCTGTTATCTTACCATGTTGCTGATGTTTTCTTGTTGTAGGGAATTTTTTGCTGTTCGAACCATGCAAAGGAAGGAGAAGAGTTTCAAAAACAATGACATGTGGACGGGACATATTTCATATATTGCTGTTATTCCGCTTTATTAGATACTGTTTCATGCTTGAATGTTCACTGTAATGATGAATATTGGGTACTTCTTGCTAAAAACGATACCACAATCTACCCATTACCACTCAACAGGTACACAAGAATTTCCGCCAGCTTTGAAGTGGCCTGTTGAAAGTCATAGAGAACCTTTCCTTACCTTTGGCCCATGGGTCACTGTTTGGACCCAGCTGGAATTTGACATGCCTGCGATCCTCCAGCTCTGTCTGCTCTCCCTCCTCCTCTGCTACCAGTTTCTGGATCAGTTCTAATAAGACATGAAATTTGCCACTGTCAGTCAAAAAACTGAGACTTAACTTGTGATGGCAAGTTATTCCAATATCTATTCTCTTTTGGAATAAGCATAATGGACATTGATTCAACCCTAACCAAAAATGGTAGACTATAAATTGACAGTGATAAAGCACTAGATTTTGTACCCAACAGTTATATTACTCTAAGTGTGACTGTTATTGACAACCTAAATATATCCAAATAATATTTTTGCCATTGTTTAACCCATCTTCCCATTCTCTGTACTTCTGACCTATCCTAAATCACAAAGATCTTTTCACCTTGTGACTTTTATAATAGAAGTCAAATTTTCTGTTCAGTTTCCAATTCAGTTTGCGTATAGTGCAAAGCCCCCAGAAAGTAAGCTAGAGGGGACAGTGGCAAGGAAAATCTCCCTCACAGGAAGAAACCTTGGGAGGAACCAGACTCAAAGGGGGAGCCCATCCTCCAGGCGCCGGCAGAGAAAGTCCTGATTTATACGCCCCCGTTTGTTAAAATCCAGGTATTTATATTGTAGTCATAGTCTTGAACAGAAGTTCTAGATCTTCTAAACATCAAAGTCACAAGCTCACCACTTTGTGTAAACCATCTGGAGGAAAATATATGATCCAACATGAAAAGCAACATTTTGTGCATAGTTCAGATTAAATTGCCTATCGAACGTTTAAACCCCAGATAAGCATGCAGGCTTTGGAATGATTTCACCTACCTGCTGGGGGCGCCAGACTCATGCCAGAATAGAGTGGAAAAGTCTGGGTCCTCTTTGCAGAATGCAGCATTGCAACAATGCAGATCAGCGCCCAGGTCAGCATCACGACGGCTCCTCGACTTCTTTCTCCACTCTTCTACCTCGGGGACTTCACTTTTATCTCTCCCTCGGCCATTTGTCTTGACATCTGTAATATGTCATTGTGTCACATCAGCCCTGTGCAAACAGTCTTGACGTACAGGTACCATCGTCAGATGTGATGGGGGACTGGTCATCATTTTAAATCTTTCCTATCTCTGGTTGCACAGAGAGCCGTGACAAATGTTTAAATTTCGACACAATGGAAAGCTGGTCAGAGTTAAACTGAATAGACAGCATCATACCAATAAAACACGCTGGGTACATACATTCAGCCACCAAATGAGGATTTGTGAAGTTCTAAAAATAAAAGTATTTTCTCAGATAACCAAAATTACGATGTTGTTTTTGTTATCTTTAGTTATAACCTATTATCACTTGTTACCAGAAACCCAGTCATTTGTTTGGCATTTGATTTTGGCAAAGTTCTTCTTCACTGCACATAATGCACCCAACAGGCCTCCCCATTCATATCATGTTCCATTATACCGTCATTATTATCGTTAAAGTTTTGTAGGGTTATTTACTTCTGTAAAAACAAGTTAAGCAGTGCTGTTGCAGAGCATCCCCCTGTAGTAATCACATTGTAATGCTGATCACTCATATTTAGTTGTATTTAGATGAAATGACATATTAAATAAATTTTGATTATTCTTAATAGAAAACTAACCAAATGCAGCCCAAACTGCATTTATAAATCAGAAAGCACAGGATGTATAAAAGTATGCATTTTATAGTAGTTCTTGTTCCCAGATTTTAAATGGGGTTACATGGGCACTTTGTCAAAGTGAAAGGTTTCTAATAATGTACCAGAGGAACATTACTGAAAGATCTGGTTCTTGGACTGTGATGGATGGAAGTGTCTCACAGGATATGATATTGCAATTGGAAACACCAGATCCTGCCTTTATTCTTCATCCAAGCCATCCCAGGTGAGAAATGGTGCCTATATATAAAATGGCCGATGACTACACACTTCTACCAAGGGTCCACAAAGCTTATGGGATGCTGTAATTCTTTGAACTAGTTTGACATTGATAGGAGTTTAATGGTCTTTCCTTGCGATACCAGTTTTGTCCGTCATGACAGGTAATCATATATTTGTCAGATTGTTGCTGAGCTGAAAAAGTCAAAATGGAACTAAAAGACATAGTGTTACTCTTGATGGTTTTTCATCTTCAAATGTGCAATGGGGATCCCAGCAAATAATGTATAATTGTGTTAAAATTGTCCATTGTAAGTTTGTGTGGGGATGAAAGTTTACTGACATCCATCCATATGGATAGCACCAAAGGCAGGAGTTGTAGGTGATTCTTTAATATCTCTGATTTGAAATTTCCTATAGTTATTCGGACAAAAGGGCATATGCATTGCAAAAATGTATACGTTCTTGTACATTAACATTATAAATAAGAGTTTAGGCTTCAATTCCTCTAATTATGCTGTGGGTAACTACCTGGTTTATATCATACATGGCGGAAATATTCTCCTTGACTATTTCTGTTTTGTTCTACCGGTTGCACTTTGTGAGAATAAAACGTGCACTATGGCAGCGGTGGGATTCGAACCCACGCCTCCAGAGAGACTGGAGCCTAAATCCAGCGCCTTAGACCGCTCGGCCACGCTACCGGTAGAAAGCCAAAAACTGCTATACCTCTTCCTAGGGCAGGATTAATTTGTCGCGTTTACAAGGCAGGTAGAAAACAAAACTTTATTTAGCCATACGAATGTTTAATCGTTTGATTTATTAATTTGTCGCCGGTATAAATAACTGCTACATATATATATATACACACTGACATTAAACTCTTGTTTTGAGCTGAATTTAAATGATTGGCTTTCCCCTTTTGTTAACTACGTTTTTCCTCATTAATGGTCATTGATCTGTAGGTTTTTTGTCGGATTTTAATGGATTTTAAAAAAAGGATAGTGATGTTTGTGAGTGCGGCTACGGTATCCAATCGATATGTAAGTATTAATATATATCGATACTAGTGTTACGGAGTGCACTTATCTAGGGAAATGTCGCGATTCTCCATGCCTTTGCTATGTAGTGCGCCTGTCAAGGCGTCGTTTTTGGCGATTTAATATCTGCTCCAGTTTGCTGTGTAAACCGAGTATACCCTAGGCGCCCCCATCCTGGGCTATTCCCTGCTTTGCGCCCGTAGCCTCCGGCATAGATGGACCACCCCTCGCCCCAGAACCCCCGACCCTGAATAAGACAAACGGTCACAGAAAATGGATGGATAGAAAGATACTGCGTACACCCCGCTAAATCAAATCATCGCTTTAATTCCCCGGCACAAAGAGGCATACGCTGAGTTCGGGGGGCGAGGCTCGTATTCCGAGCGCCAATCGCGTACGTCAACGGTCACGTGATTTACATATCCGGAAGTTAGCCGTAAGTGAAGAAACGGCTCCTCGGCGAAATTGCCATGATCCACGGAGGAAGGGGCATAGATCTGTTACCTGCTAAATCCTACCCACGGAGCGAAGGTGATAGGTAATGATGCTTTAAGCATTATGCACACATACTTTTAGGAACTTTAGTTATAACTGTGTTTTCAGTTATCATGGGTCTAGCTAGCTCGGCTGCAGCCTTGCAGCTCCGGCTTGTTTTGACGCGTGATCTTCAGTTTGTCGTCACGGACACTTAGCGGAGTGCTGCGGGTTATTCACTTTCTATCAGTTTCACTTAATTTTTTATCAAGCTGTCCTCCAAAAATAGTCACCACAGAGCGCTTCACATATGAACTGCAGCCCCCAGACCGGCTGTATATAAGTGAAGCCGGTACATTTACTAATTTATCCGACGCTTTCATCCAAAGCAACTTACAATGGAGGGAAGGGTCACAATACAGTAGCTGGATTGTCAACGCATGCTTAGCGTAAGAGGATCTTTTAATTAGGCGCATTAGCATTTAAGAGTCCTCGCTACACCTTTTATTTCGGGCTACAGTAATTCGGTGTTCTGCCAGTGTTACATGATGGGATGAAATACAGATGATGGTATAATATTAGTGTATGGATTTGGCTAATTTCATATTCTTCCATATTATTAAAGTTAAAGTAGATCTTATGTTAGATCAATTAATCTAATCCGAAATATATATATAATGAATTACGTTATTCAGTCAAGATAAACAAGTTAAGATAAAAGAATTAATAACGTAAAACATTTAGGCTGTTTGTTAAATTTGTTTGTTAGGATAACTTAAATGCCTGTATCTTCATCATATAAAGTCAGCCATTGTATCTATACATAGCATACCTGCATGGAGATTTTAAATAGGACATCCTTGGCGTGCTCTAATATAATCTATTATTATTATTCTAGCCTTAATTTCAGTAGCATTTCTGAAAAGTAATTAACGCTAGTATTAGTAATTTATCATTTTCAATCGGGCAGCTCCAGATTTTTTTGTTTGCCATCGTTCAAACTTCCCCAGTTGGCAGCAATAAATAAAGTATACATGGTCAGTACTACAACACTGGCAATGGTGATAATAAGTTGCTTTTGGAGTTCAAGTATGTAGGAATTTTTGATTTTAAGTATCATATTACAATCCTGTGAGAAAGAGAGTGCTGTTGTCAAGGATGCAGAGTTTTGTTTCTGTTCCTCTGGAGTGTGTTTTTGAGTTATGCAGTCACTGTCAGTGTAAATGATACAAGGAGCTGACATGTCACTGGCCTCTTTCCGCTTTGCCAGCAGACTGCCGTAAACATGCTTTCAGAGGGTAGCTCCTTCATTAAGGGCTTGTTCCTTGGGAGCCTCTTCTGCCTGGTGATGTCCACCCTGGTCAGCTATGGACCCAGCTGGCACCCCGGCCAGGACTCCCACCTCCACCACCACATCAAGGCGCCCAGCAAAGAGGAGCTGCAGCGGCTCCCCGAAGCCCAGAGGCTGGAGCTCAGCCAGAGAGTGCGGGTGTACTGCGCCATCATGGTCCAGCCCAAGAACTTGGAGCACTGGACCACAGCCAAGGACACCTGGAGCAAGCACTGTGACCGGGCTGTGTTCTACAGCCCCGAGGGCTCTGCAACATTGGAGGTGGTGGAGCTGCAGGAGCAGGACGAGTGGGCGAGGATGCGGAAGGCCCTGAGGCACGCCTACGACCACGCGGACGACCTCCACTGGTTCTTCTTGGCTCGGCCCACTACCTTCGCCATCATTGAGAACCTCAAGTACCTGGTGCTGGACAAGGAGCCGGGGCAGCCCTTCTATATAGGCCGAGTGGCCAAGTCTGGCGAGCTGGAGTATGTGGAGTACGAGAGCGGCGTGGTGCTTAGCCGCGAGGCCCTGCGGCGGCTCACCGAAGCCCTCGAGGACACGGAGCGCTGCCCAGAGCGTGGACGCGCCCTCTGGAGGCTGAACGAGGAGAAGCAGCTCGCCGAGTGCCTCAAGTACCGTGGCGTGTTCGCTGAGAACGGGGAGGACACCCAGGGCAGGGGCCTGTTCAACAGCTGCAGCGTGGGCTCCCTCATCTCCGAGAGCCTGGCCCGGCGGCCGCCGAATGTGCTGGAGAGCTGCTGCTCTGACATGGCCGTCACCTTCTCTGGCATGACGCCCAACCAGATGCAGGTCATGATGTTTGGCGTGTACAGGCTCCGCCCCTACGGACACGCATTCCACGACTCCTTAATGTTCCTACCGCCTGTGGGCTCAGAAAATGACTGACCTTTGGGGCCTTGAATGTAGATGCTGCCTAAGTTCTGAGGACACTGACCAGTTCAGCGACATGTCTGATCAGTTATAAGGAGTCTTATCCCACATCCTAGGCAATATTTCCCACTCATTTAAAACAAAAGGCACTGACATATTCTAAATGATTCTTGTGAAAGGAACACACACTTTATCACTTAAAGTGTTTCAATTCCCCTTGGAAACGTGGTGCTCCTAAGGTCCTAAGTGATACGTGGCATCATGCCAGTCCTGTGAATTAGCAAATGTTCAAATTATTCATTGCATTCAACTTATTTTGTGCTGCTCCTTATGTTGGGTTGTGATTCAGCTTTTCCTCCACTAAGGTACCAGAAAACCATGAAAAAGGCACTTAAGTAAATGACTTTCACTTTATAGACCTGTAGCTGCTAGACTCCTTCCCATCTTATATTGCGAAAGTCACATTGACATTTAGTTTGACTTCAAGCTGGTTTCTGGGTTGAAACAATTAAGGAGGCTTATTGAAAATGGTGATTGAAATATTTACACTTATTACTATTATTTTCCATTTACGTATGTGTGGTGGAGGTTGCCTAATTCTCATAAATTTTTACATAATGTGAAAGTACGAAGGTGTTAGATTTTTGGAAATTTGAACAAGATAGGTGACGTGTGGGTTGCCTGCGGAGATGGCACTCTGGGATCTGCTGGTCCCTGCCGTTTCCACTGGATGCCAGTATTCCAGTGACAGGAGGCCTGGGCATATTGCTGTGGCTCTGTAAAGGCTGAGACTGCTTCCCCATCTCCATACTGCATACAGGAAACGCATTCAGCCGCTCGGCCATGTTGTGGCCGGAGTCGGGGTCACGCCTTTGCACTTCAGGTGCATGTTTATCCTGAGTGACTGAGGTGAGATGCAGGGCTGTTAAAGATACTTAGGGGTTAAATGTGCATTTAGGATGCTGGTAAAGGATGAGCCCTTTATTGCGGGTGGGTGAGCGTTTAGAAGACAGCACCTGGGAAGCTGTAACATGGTTGGTTTAGATTGAATTTAAACTGAGCTCATTTTAACTGCAGTAGTCATAGAGAAGTAACCCTTGAAACAATTGACATCTTAGCCTCTGTCTTATCAAATGTATTCTGTTAAGTGTTTTGGTATTTAGTGAAAATCATTTTGAAGATGGATCACCCGATCCAGTGTTATAGAAACATTATGAAAACAATATTCCAAGTCATAGAGCTTATAATCGTGCAAAGTTTTAAGTGACTGCATCCTGTCATCCATTTCTCAAGTTTAAATAAGCTTGTTTTGAAAAGAGACTTAGGTCTGTTCATAAAACTTTACTATTGGTGTTTTCTAACCAATCTGCACTGTGTGCAACTTCAAGTATTCACTGTCCAATAGCAATTTTTCTACTGTGTGTAAAACTAAAGAGAATGAAGAAAGTCTGAAAAAGTGTTGAAGAACATTTCATGTTATCCTAATTCAGTTTTGATATTAAAGCATATTTTTTAAAAAGTGATGGTGGTGAGTGTGTTTTCTATTTTTTATTTTTTTTTGTATTCACCCTGAAAACCGCAGCCCTGAGCTTTAAGAAAACCAAAATCCTCCATCAATTTCCATGAAATAGCATGAACTGGTCCATTATGTGTTTGTGCCCTCAAATGAACATGGTGACTTAAGTGCAAACAAGATGAGGAATGAATATGGGCTGAATGCAAGCTTTTATTACATGACAAAGGTCATATGAGAGGTGCAGTTAATTACAAGGTCATTGATGTAAACAGTAGTCCATTTAAGATGGGGCTGCTTTGCACTGTCCTGGAGGTTGAGGTCTGGACGTGGACATCACTTGTAGGTCTTCATGTGCCACAGGCCGTCGTTCAGATAGTGGACGTTCTCAATGCCGATGCCCTTGTTCACTTTCTCGCTGTTGGGATAGAAATAGGTCAGCACTGTTGAATATTTGAAACTGCACATAAAATTGAAAAATAATCAACATCAAATAAGCCATTTTAAATATTATTTAGCAGAAATATTAGTTGGGATTTAAAGTTTGCAGTTTATTTGTTCTGAAGGTAACCGCTGCTTTTGTACGAGTTCCTCAGGCAGTTTTTGAGCCAAACAATCATTTTCATCCATGCTCACTCTCAGTGTAGCGCATCTTTTGCGTATGCAAATATTTTGGATTCCATAGAGCCGATTCTGAGTAAAAGCAAATGATTGGACTGCGCTGTCTGTTGGCACAACTCAAGAAGAATTGAGAATCTGATTATGCTGCTGCTGTTAATTTTATACAGCCGCAGAAAAAATTAACAGACCACTCTATTTTTTTAACAAATCTGTGCTGGAAAAACAAAGGAGCTGCTGGTGGATTTCAGGTAAAGGAGGAAGCCAAAATGGTTGAGGGTGTTAACGAATTGTAATAAGCAGAGTTGGGTAATTCAGGTCCAGAGAGTAAAAGTCCAGACCAGGATTTTGTTTCAACCAACTAGTTGAGTACTCTGTGACTGTGACTCTTTGTGCTCAACTGGTTAGTTGAAACAAAATCTCGGTCTGGACTTATACTCTCAGGACCTGCTACAATGCGACTAATGCATTCCTGGAAAAACGTTGCATAATAAAATGCACATATCCAATATGAAAAATAGGGTTAGGGGAATGCAACTCCCACCAAACAATGCATGGATGTACAAAACGTTTGATTCTTTTAGATTTGAAAGTCGGTTTTTCTGAAAAGAACTGGTTCAAAAGAACGATTCATTCACAAATCGGACATCACTATTGTTTACTTGGCTAGCTGTTTTTGCATGTAAGTAATGTTTCTCTCTAAGACCACATCACATTGCATCCTTGCCAAACATGACCAACCCCACGACACGCTGCACCCAAAGTTCGTGCTTGGAAGGCAAGTCAGCAAGACCGATCTTGCCAAGACTACAAGTATGACCTTTGTGTTCTTGGTATTAAGAAACACCCATCATCTTAGTCGGCTCCTTCATTTCTGGTTTTACATGTTTGCATCAGCTCAGGTATCTGTATCAGGTCAGAAAAAATAGGACTGGTGCATCCCTAACTGTAACCAAAGAGAACTTATTATCTTCGAATAGTGGATGTCAAACAAGATGGTGTTGCTGCTGTGAATTGTGTCAGCAGAAAGAAATCAATGCCAACAAATGCACTGTGATTATAGGCTTTAGATGACGGGAATAAAAATTTGCTTGGATGCTTGTTTCAGGATTATATGGGCATTTACTTAGGCCCACAATTTGATAAGCATATTATAAATTCGGCATATTCTTGTTTAATAAACATGTCAGATTTTAAACTGCAAAACGTACCACCACACTACCACCATCTTTTTTACCTTGTTTATCCACAATATAAAAATTCTAAAGACGTTGTGGCTGTTGAGCTGCCCCTTTCTTCACCTACACTTCAGTACTTATTGCTTCCTTGATATACCAAAAGATTAGCACGTGGTGTGCTCTGCTAACCAAATTAAATAATCGTAAAGATACGCCGAATTTATACAGATTACTAACTTTTGAGTGTCACAATATGGCTCTCGTAAATATTTTATATGTACTACTAATCTGATTATAAAATAGTGGATGTAAGTAAATGCCCATATAGAGCTGAAAAGCTGGTGTCTGGACACATTTTTACGTCTGTCATCTAAAGGTTATATCGCAATGTGAAATTGTGCAGCTCTACTTTTTTTAACATGTACTAGATAATCTAGAAAAGGAACAGTCATTAAAATTCCAAAGCTTGCCAAGTTTTGTTTACTCTGACAGAGCAAAAATGTTTTATTGAAACTTAAATCCCCTACACTTGGCAGATTTTATCACCAAGATTTCTAAATACCAGAACCGTACTGAAAAATAACATTATGAAAATACCTTATACCATGGTATAGTATTTGTACAGTATGAAGGTGTACAAAAGCCAGATTTCAATCCAGCTAACTAACATGGTCCTTGCAATGTGGGAATTGCATTTGCATAACATGCAATGTCGATATAAATTTCCCAGCCCTTCATAGTATTTTTTGTTTTATAACGTTGCACTGTCTTGTTAATTGTCTGTAGTCTGTTTAGAGGGAATTCAAGTAGGAATGTCACTGTACATATGACCCCGCTTTCTTAGCTCAGATTGAATTGAGAAGCAGAAGAAACTTAAACTGCCATTAAATTTTGAGGACTGTACACAGAGGCACACAGTAGTGTTTTTTTCTCTTGCTTCTCAAAATATTCGGTTTTTAATATTTTCTGGCCATCATTCTAAAAAAGAAAAAAATAATGTTGCTACTTTAATACCAACTGTACCGTATATAAACATAGTCCTGTGGCAAAAGTTGGCCATACTGCCCCCAGGTTTTTGGTGGCTCTGCATCTCGTGTACGGGTAACGTTAATTTCTCAGGAGCTGCACAAACGACGTGTGGAATGACGCAGGATACGTGTGGCAACACAAGCAACAAATATAAACACGCCATAAGTGACAGACAACTCCCCCCTTAACTGCTACTTCTGTCCAGGAGTCACACAAACAGGAGAAGTTCTCTTACATGTTTTCCGAGGACATTTTCATCACACCAACAGAAAGCGCATGTCGCTTGCCTTCCGCCATTATGGCCTGTGGCAAAATTAATATTAAGGAAACAAATCTATAGGCTGTGGGGGAAAAAACTCTAACCAACCATACTACAGTGGTACCTCAGTTCTTGAACTCATTAGAACTCGAATTTCTTAAAAGTCGAACCAACCAGTTCGGAAAAAAATTACCTAGTACTCGATCTGAATCTCAGAAGTCAAACCGTGAACGCCAACCTAAGATAACTTGTACGCGCAGGGGAAATGAGTCATGTAGCACGTCTCTCAGCAGAAACAAAGGGTAACACTTCAGTCTCAGCTTTGCATTCGCTGTGATAGCATCGTGCATGTTTACACAAGCTGAATACATATTTAGACCGTAAAAATACATTTAGACAATGATAGACAGTAACAGTAATTATTATTATATAATAAAATACATTTTAAAATAAAGATTTCTTATTAATTATTTTAATATCAATAATATACATTTAATTATAATAATATTGTCGTGCCGCGCGGACGGAATGGAGACAAACGTCACGGTATCGGGGAATACAGGGTTTAATTACAGGTAAGGCAGGCAAAGCGCAGACGGACAATACAATGACCGGACTGGTTAAACGAACTGAAATGCGGACGAAATACAGAGGGCTAATGACAACAACCAGAAACAGCTGATCACACGGGGATTCCACACGGGGTTAACGAGGGGGTGTGGCACACGGAAGGAGCGGACGATCGGAGCAGGACATTGTTTTTTTTTTTTTTTAACTTTACACATTGGATACATTTATTTTCTTACTTTACAAATTACTGTTTTGATAAATGTCCTTAGATGTGTTTAGTACAGTATATGCTCTTGTTTTATCTGGTTCATTTTGTGTTTAAATGCTAAAAAAAACATATTTAGGTGTAATTTTTTGGGGCCGGGAACCAATTAATTGGTTTTCCATTATTTCTTATGGGGAAAATTCGATCAGAACCCGAACTTTTTAGGATTCGATCCGGAGTTCTTAACGGATTAAGTTCGAGTTCTGAGGTACCACTGTATATCTAAAGAATAAGCACCCATAAAGGATGTTAAAAAGCAAGGCCTGTATTTTCTAGGAAAATACACATACCATGTACAACATTCTTACACAACCACAAATGAGAACAGCTCATACCTTGTCATCACTGACCATCTGGAAGGCATTCTACTCCGCCAAGTAAGTATGTCTTGTAATAAATGACCTCCTCAATGACTAGCCAACACATTCACTGTACGGCATCTGGACATTTAAAGGATACAACAACAGTATCGGGCTCAGCTGGGTACAGTTTAGCTCCTGGTGACGTGAGGCCAGGACACATGATATTGGCTCCACTGAGAACAAATTTGATGGCCCCTTTGTCGACCTGCTGATGTGGAAGTATGAAGGGATCTGGGTGGAAGAAAGAACAAGGATGGATAATCAGGCACATTGGAGAAAGGACAGAGTAAAAGGAGGAATGGACACAGAACTCATGACACAGAGTCACAGTGTGTGTAGCGGCTATCAGTTTTATACAAAGCAAAGGAACTGGGTCACCTTGCTCGATTATTTATTTGCAGGAAATGTTGCGGGGGGGGTGGGGGGTATCTGAAGTGGGATGAGAATCCATTTAAAGCCCACGCAGGTATTAAATGCTCAGATATAAAATGTCAGAAATAAATTCTACATAAATGCACTGCTACTGATGTGTCAGAGAAAAGGAAATAATGAATTAAAATAACTTCAGCAAAACATGTGTTTCTACATTTATTCATACCGTTTTGATATGGTCACATCTGTGTAGTCATCAGAAATACAACAGACACCACCCACATAAAACATGCAACTGAAATTTTGATTCTTGGAAAAGAAAAAACATCTAGTGCTCAGCTTCAGTCATGAGGGC